AAGAGATGATAGTGAATATGTAATCTATTTACTTTACTGCCATAGCAATCTGATATCATTAAGTCAAATGAATAATTAAACAAATAGATGGGATTGAGTATTTACTATTGAGAGATGTATTGAAGGAGGGTATGGAGAAGATCTAAATAACACTTATCTTTTAATGAATGACTTAGTGTCTATTTGGTTTCTGTTTTCAAAAAATAGTCTTTTGTTTTTAAAAACAAAAAAATAAAAATAAAAATCTTGTTTAATTTGGATAAATGTTTTGAATTTATTTGTTTTCAAAACTATTATCATTTTTTGTGTTTAAAAACAAAAAATAAAAAAATCTTAATTTTTTTTGTTTTCAAAATACATCACATTTGATTATTAAAAATTACAATTACATTAACCAATAATTATCAATTATCATAGGTCACCACTGTTAATTGTTGGTGACCATAACCATTGGCAATTTATACTCTAAATTATATATTTAAATTATAAACTCATATTTGGCACATTCTTTCAATAAAAATGGGGACATATTTTTTACAAAAGTAATGTACGTTTGTTCTAGTTTGACAGGGAGGGCGAAATAGTCTGAAGTTTAATTTTTTAAAATTCGAAATGTACCAAATAAGAATTTAGGTTCAAATCACTTTTGAACCTATATTTTAAGGTCCAAATTACATATTAATCATTTTTTAATCATAAAACTGTTTTTAAATTAACAAAGCCAAAAAAATTTTATTTTGAAAAATAATTTTAAAAACAGTATTGTAAAACAATTTTTAAAAACAAAAAAAAATGAGAACATAAACCAAACATGCCCTTAATTTACAGTTGAATTAATTATCCTGCGGCAGAAGTTTTCCATGGGCTTCAAGGTAACTTACAATGGATTTCCTAAAAATTAGGAAAACAAATTAAGAGCTTCAATGTCTTGAACTAAAACGTTTCTTGCATGTACTTACATCGTTTTCTTTTACTGAATTTCTCTACGTATCTTTCCAGTTTACTTACTCAATCTCTCTACGAAATCATGCAATGGAAAATAAATATATGTTTCCTTTTCTAAAATAAAATAACCAAATTAAATGTCAAAGGGAAAGGTTTGGGAACAAACTAAACGTTCAAAATTAAAAATCCAGAGACATTCTCTGCAAACTAGTTAGGCTCTTTATTTATTATCTTATTGGGCCTTTCATGGATTAATTACGTTATTCATCAGTAAAGAGAAAGAAGTGAAAAACAATCAAAGATCAGATTAGAGATAAAATAAAGGAAAAACTTTAAAAGGATCCAATCGTTACTTTTTGACTTGCCAAGAGCCTAAGACTCAATTTTAGACTCGTTCTCCTGAGATGAGAACGATCTGAATCCAGCGAGCAATGATTTTTTTTTTTGTTTTTTTAATAAGCAACGAGCAATGATTTATTAGGAACTTTTTTTCCCCCATTTTTTTATGATTTGAAATTTTAGTTGTGCTTTAATTTTTACGCACGATTAAACTCTCAATCAGAGATATAATGTAATCCATTTGAGATCGATTTGTGAATTTTTTTTTAATGCTCTTTGTTTTATATATTAGTTCCATGATTAATTATTTACATTTATATTTCTCTTAAAATATATTTACATTCATATTTCTCTTAAAATATATCTATCTCTTTCATGTTTTATGTGGATTTTGTCTTTTAGCTATCATAATATTTAATTGGCTATCATAATATGTAATTAATAGGTAAATTCAATAAACTGAGACGTGAAAAATGAACTAGATCTAAAAACATAGATACAAATAATTGAACTAAAAATAAAACTAGGAGTTGATGATGACTTACGTTGCAATTTTACGTTTAGGAGGAATTTGGTTACACAGTGGTGGATTCAATTTTAATTAAAAAAGATTAATTGACCGAGAGATAATTAATTAGAAAAATATAGGAACAACTGTCACCGTAATAACAAAGAACTAACTCAGAGTAAAATTCAGTCATCTCACTTAGTAGGTGAAAACCTGATCTCTAACACTATTAACTAGATCTATTTTTATCTATTCATTATTGTTTTTATAATTTTTATTTTTATTTAATTATTATTTTATATTGGGAAATTTAACTGGACAAGTAGTTAATGCCTCTCTCATATTATGTTCAACACCTATACTGTGCTCAGTTGACCTGGACTTCGACGCTGGCAACTGTTCTTGCTTGACGCACGAACCGCACGTTAAGAACGTAAATGCCAAGGTACATTTGGATAATAATTAAAATAACTTATTTATACACACACACGCACGCATATTTGAGCTCAGGTGCATTCTGTAACGATCACCGATATGATAGACAAATTAAGAACAAAAAATATGCTGAATAAATATTCTCAAGTGTTATTGCCTCATATTCTAAGTCACACGTACATATAGCAGACAAATAATCACTGAAAACAGTCACTGACATAAGAGTGCTATTGCAGCTGAAGAAGTTAACAAAAAGGAAAGTGCCAGAACAGCATAGTAAAAAGAAGAATGCTCAGAGACGAAGAAGTGCAGACAGGAGAGAAGAAACCACAAAATTCTCCTCTGACCCTTCTTGTTGCTGAGACTCACCCTAAATAAGCCCATTACCACAAAACCCAATATTCACCTCTGGCCCGTTAGTTGGCAACCTCCAACCCAAATACAAATGTCACATTAGGCCTGTTTGGTACACATTCATACTCTTGAACTTTTTTTATCGGCATCGGACACTTTGCATTGATAAGTAAATGTTTTTTTTTTTAGACTATTCTTTTGAGGAGCAAAATATTTTTTTTTGTCAGTTAGCTGCATTAACTTTGTCATGAGAAGACTCGTAAAACTCCAACAATGGTTTTTAGTGTTAATGTACTTTTGAACTATTTTTTTAAAAATGTTAGGCATTTAATTTTTTTTTAAAAGTGTTGGGAACTTAAAAGTCTTGTTAAAATAAAATTTAATAAATATTATTAAAATTTTAAATTTTTAATATTTAATATTTTTAATATTATTATTTTTAAATATTTGGTATTATTTATAAATTTATAAATTATTTTTTAAATATTAACAACTCAAACTACTTTTTAAAAATTTATAGATGACTCTTAAATTTTTATGCATCTATTATACTTTTTAATATTGATTAAGTTTCTTAATTTTTTTAGGTTATTCTTTTTAATTTTTTTTTGTTCAACTAACAATATTCTTTCAAAATATTGTATCATTTGAATTTAATATTGTTTGTACACTGTAATGTAGGAGTAAAATAATAAACATGAAAGATCAAGACCAACATGCAAAAAAAAAAATGCTTATTTGAAAGATATATCATGCCACATTAATGTGATACAAAAAAAGTTACTTAACAAGAGAATAATGAATAGATGAAGGAAAAAATTCCTTCATTAATTTGGTGATTCATTCCCTTTATTTTAAAAACAAATTTATAAAATAATAAAATATTAAATTTGGGTAGTACAATATTTTGAAAGAATATCATTAATTGAAAAAAATATAGGCTTAAAAGATTTAAAGAACTTAATCAATATTAAAATATAATTCATATATAAAAAATTATAAGTCATTTATAATGTTTGAAAAACTAGTTTGAGTTGTTAATATTTAAAAAATAGTTTATAAATTTTGGATGAATATTTATAAATAATAATATTTAAATTATTTAATATTAAAATATTAATATTTTAATAATATTTATTAAATTTTATTTCAACAAAGCTTCATGTTATCCAGCACTTTTAGAAAAAGTGTTCAGGAAAAAATTACTACCAAAAAACATGGTTGAAAATTGACAAAATTAACTATTGACTAATTAAAGGAATTTTTTACTCCTTAAAAAATAGTTTAGGAAAAAAAAATTGCTCCACTCATTAGTATAAAGTGCCAACACTCTTTGAAAAAAAGTTTATAGATACAAATAGACCTTTAACCTAATATATTTTTAAGTATAAGAGGTGGGTTACGCCGACAACAAATAATGTATCCTGAGGTACATGCACAAGTGTTAAGAGATTCAAACCCCAACTACCTATTTAAGTTACAAGAACCTCCACTACTCATGCCAAAAATTTGTATATTTACCTTAAATAAAATACTTATTTTCAATTAAATCAAGGCATACAGATCTTCTATAAATTATTTATTTCATAAAAAAATCTTATTATTAATATATTAAATTTATTCATTTTAATTTGATTGGATAAAAGTATATTAAATATATAAATCTAAACATTTAACTCTTATCCTAATAAAAATAGGAGATTGCACCCAAAAAAAATTGTAAAATAAAGAAAGAGAGTACAATAAGAAAAAGAGTATTAAAAGAATAAATTATAAATTACATTTTGAGTTGAAAAGATAAAATATAAGAATCATATCTAAAATTATGACCTTCAATTCATAATAGTCATAACTTTTAAGCTTCAAAAAAAGATAATAGTGGGATAGACATTTTCACATAATTAAAATGCTTTACATTCATAATTAACTCATATCTTAGAATATTCATTATTTGGTAATGTGCCTTGTTAAAAGCTTCAGATAAAAAAACATTTGGAGCGAAAACTTAGCAGCCAAAAAAGAACACATCTTTATTTTTTTTATTTTGATAATGGTCAAAATACATGAACAATTAAAATTACATAAAATGAAATAAAATAAGATAGAAAACTAGATCAATATGCGCCTACTGGAAGAGTTGGACAAAAGTCCAAAAATTCCAACTTTGAAGCTAGCTACACATGATTGACCTACTGGAAAAAAGATAGGAAGTCCAAAATATCAGCCTTTATCGAGTTATTTGTGCACCTTGAATTTTCTAGAGATCCAAAACCAGAGCCTGCTACATTGATGAGACAGCTTTCACATATGCTATTTAATTCCGCCATTTTGATCCAGGAAAGTGCATATCTAAGACATTCCATAACCAAAAAAGGTTTTACATCATTGTTCAGTTTGATACTCAATGATACGATGCTCTTTAATGCCTATGGGTAAAATCATCACTATGCTCTGAAGAAACCATATGGTCCTCTTCATTCGGAGCAACATTATCAGTGGCAAGGATGCTTTCTCCATCTCCATCTACAGAATTACTTGCGGGGAATATTCTTGAATCACTTCTATTTAGAGAGTAGTCATTATTTCGATCAAAGCAATTCACTATTTGAGCCTTTAACTGCAATAACCAAACAATCTTTCTTCTGACTGAGAGTATCCTGACTTCAAGAAATAGAATAGAAGTGAAATCCCTGAAGTGACCCCGGTGATGATGAAAAGTCCTCCAAAGCTAGACATAGTAAGACTTGGACTATTTGGAATTGACTCCCTTTCATCTTCAGATACGATTCCTCCTGAAAAGTACCTGTTCATAATCTTTTGAAACTTTTCTTTATCTTCAATCACATTAAGGATTTCCCTCAAAAAGTAGGACACTAGAGGAGATTTTAGTGGGAATGCCTGACCATGTAACATAGACCTCCACGTTAGAATTGAATGCTTACTTATTTTTTGGTCTGTTAATTTTCGTAACAATTGTATTTAAGCTATATATATATATATAGAGAGAGAGAGAGAGAGAGAGGAACTCACAAAGCCTAATCCATCAGTTTTATAGGTCAGTCCAACCATAGCATACTTAGAACCATATTTGGAGAGGAAGAGCTTTAGATAAGGGATTTCATTAAAGATAGCAGCGACCTCACCACTAGAGAGAGCTTGATCATATTCTTCAGGCATATCGTAAGCCTTCAACTTTTCATCCTTAAATCCCAACTGATCTCTTAGAAGCCTTTTGACAAAGGATTCCCTTGATACCCCACACAGTAATTATTCTTCAGTATCTCTTTCACATCCATGAACTCAAGCTGTAATCTTTGTATCGTTAACATGGAAGCTAAACTCGCTGTGTAACTTTGTGTTATGATCAGCACCACAAATATCCATATGATTAGCACAAAACATGACCAGTTGTTCACTAATCTCTCCTCTGTCAACATTAAACATAGTAATACTTAGAGATGAATGTGGTTGTCCGCCTAAAAGGCAAGAGACTGTATGAGATTAAGAGGATGTCTAATTACTGTGAGCAAAGACCAAGGTAGAAAAAGAAAACCAAAACATCATGCTGAGTTGTTGCTGTGGAGAGCCCTGAAACTGTATGTTTGATCGGCGTTCATGAAGCCATATAATGGTACCTGTGATGATGAATGCTATATACCTGTGGCTAGCCAAAGACTTGGACTCTAAGGCCTTAAGAAGATCCGCATGTTTGGTCTCTCTTCGTGCTTCATAGAAACTACCATTGACACACTAGATTCTGAAAATGGCAACGTAAAGTCAACATGTTCAACAAGGGCTAGCTACAATAGTTACGTCTCCGACACACATCATATACTTGCCAGTAATTTTTTTTAAAAAAAACTAATATATCATCTGTAAAATAGCTTACAGTAATATACGGAACCAAAGATATTATTTTAAGCGTAAATGAAACTTGCCCCTTTTCAATTTTGTAGAATTAGCTCATCATAGGACCCTTTTGTCTCTCCATTCGGTTTCTGGAATGGGAGAAACTCATATGGAAAAGGAAATGGTAACGCTTTGACCACTTCAAGAAACACATCAATAGCGAAGCCACAGAATTTTGGTGGACCTTTTGAAGATTGCCTCTCCACTTTCAAAAATTCAACAAAAACCCTTTGTTCTTACAGGGACCCCAATTCTCAACTTGGTCGGTTGATTTACCGTGTCCCCTGGCCATATTGGTTGCATCAATTTCCCTTTCTCACTTTGATTGTCATGGAATAGTCCTTTCTGTAGATTCCAATATCCAATGACTCTCTCTCTCTCTGTGTCCCACCACATTGAAATATTTCAAGCCCTCAAGGCATGAGTTGTACTCCCACTCAAATTGAAATCCCCAGAGAGGCCTTCGAATTTAGTATGCAAGATTCTGTTGACAAGTGTCACATCTTCATTAGAATTTGCAAAATTCAGACTCTACTACCATGGCTAACGCCCCAACTGTGTCATAAGCCCAAAGTCCAAACAGGTTAAGGGACAAGACTCAATGCCCTTTTCAATTGACAAAGCTTCCTTCCATCTACTTGTGAAACCTCTAAGCCTTTTGGAGTTCTCCATCTTCGCCTCACCCCCCGAGAACACCTTGCATAGAATCCATCACTTCTAAACTCAAAGGGTCTAACTTATTAGATAGCCCTTCAGTGACTATCCACCCATAGCCTTCGGTCATCATCCTAGCCTTGTTCACAACTAAGAAAAATTTAGACCCAAGATCACTAGTCATGTGAACTAGAAATATTCTTGGTCGACTTTGATTTAGCGTTTTCAGCTCTTCTAAAATTTCAGATTCCTTAGAATTTGATTGATGATGCGTTCTGTAAGGCACTCGCGAGTTAACTTTTTCCAAGCGGTCTGTGAGATGTGGAATCATACCGTTGCCGTATTCGTTGTCTTCATAGATTAGGATAATTTCACGCCATCCGTAAGCTTCAACAATGGCAGCTATCGCCTTCACTTGTGGGTAATCATCTTGTGCTGTCCTTATGAAAAATTGCTTCGTGTTGGAGAAGGGACGGGCTTGTGGCTGAGAACGAGATGATGGGCACGTGAAGTTTGCTCCCAAGTTCTATTACAAACCTTGTTTGTCCCACACCTTTGAGTCCAATAATTGCATGGACCTTTCATTCTTCATCAAATCAAAAGCTGCATATGCAAGCTTGTTGAAAGTTTAGGTAACATTTAAGACTTAAATAGATTAAAAACAAATGTATTACCTGCGGATGCTGCTCTAACGACATCATTCTCAGAATCCCTAGTTCGAAGATCAAGCCTTGTTTGATAATGAGGACAACGTTTATAAAAGTCATGATGTGCCATTCGCATGCAGCGCCATAGCCAAAATTCCTACTGACGAGTTTTAGATCAAGAACTACCCCTACTGGTATTGGTACCTCCTTTACCTTCAAAGGGCCTTGCCCAGAAGCATAGCAACCAAAAGCAACAAAACCAGAGGTGGTAACGGTGAAGGCTTTTTGTCTCCTGCAAGCTTGACATGGACATTCTGATTTGGTATTTGCTCTCAACTATCTCATGTTCATATATAGCTTAATCCTCTAATCTGTATACATTGGGTGCTGTATCCTTGCGTGAGACCTTGAGGGGAACCATACATATACGGTACAGACTAGGAAGGGCGCCATTTGTGCAAATCATCATTGATATTCCTTTGTTTGGTTTAATTTCCTTGAAATTTCATATATCTTCCAATCATACTGACATAAATGAGAGTAAACGCTTTCGCTCTTCAATGAGGGACCATTTGTGAGACTGTGGCTTTCGTACATAGCACGCTAGGTAATAAAGTTAAGTTAGTGTGTGTTGCATATACAGATTTTGTCTGGTTTCTTTTCTTTTTTGATGTAGTTTGCAGTTATCTCATCAATAATTAATGTTTTGAACTGGATTATTTAAAATTGAATTTCTAAAGTTTGAGAAATTAAATGTGAATACTAATAATAAAAGATAAATATAAAATGCATAACTATTTTGCATGCAATTCACTAATCTCACTCAAGTTATATCCCGAGTTTTTTTCTTTCTTTTCTTTTCTTTTTTTCCCCTGGATGATGTGGATTCCAAGTTACTGTCTACTGATATGACGATAGTGATTCGAGCTGGGAGAGATAAGAGAACGTGGGCTGTATGTACGAAATAGTACAATGACTTTTTGCGAGGAACATTATTGAACATTAACTTTCATAAAAAGAAAAACAAATTGAACATTAATGTTTGTTATCGTTAGTGCTGGCAAATAGATTCGTCTTATGATTTTCCTGCTTTCCTGCTTTCTCATTTCAATAAATATTAAAGTGACACCGGCGGGTAATTAAAAAAAAAACAAGAAAAAATATATATCAGAGTGAAATCATGGCAAAAGGCAAGACGAAGCGAAAGGGTTTGATTAGTTGTTGTAGTAACTGTAAGCTGTTTCCCGTTGACTGTTTGGTCAACTACTTTTTGTTGTGTTAACTTTGTTCGTGTTGTGCTGCTATGTTAGTGAGATATTCTTAACAACTTAATTGTAATTAATTACTTGCAAAATATATCGTAAACATTAGACTTATTGCCTTTCAAATGGACCTAAACAGTGCTTAGTTGCTTACTTCAAAACTTTTCATGTGCTGCTAAGTGATTAATTTTAATAGATATGGGCCGTTTGTTTAAGATTAAAAATTAATGATTTTTAATTAGTTTAGAGATTTTATAAAAAGAATTTATTTTGTACAAATTTTATAAAAACAAACATTTATTTTATGTTTAGTTACAATAATAAAAATAGTTATTAGTTAGTTATTTTTAATTTTATGGTTTTGATTTTTTTATAAAATATAATTTATTATATATATTTTAAATTTTTTATAATATCTTGTGCATTCCGTCTTTTTTTTAACACTTTCTCACATCTATCTATCGCATTGATTATTTCAAAACCAACTTAAAATAACTTCTTAAAATAATTAAAAATATACTATTTTTTTGGATTTTGATTGTTTTTAAAAGTTTAATCAAACATAAAAAAATTCACAAAATAACTTCTTGAAAAATAAATATTTTTTTATAAAATAAGTTAAAACAAACGGTTCATAATCAATTTCTTAGTTGCAAGACTAGAATGATGGTACTCACTTCTTTTGTTTTTGTTTTCACTTTCTTCTATATGAATGATTAAAGACATATTTTTTATAAATCATTCGGTATCTGGGATATCTTGGGTTCATTACCCACCTCAGACTAATCTAGACCCTCCCAAGAAAACCTTACAGTGATAACGAGATACTAATGAAATGATCTCTTTGAAGCTGTATTAATTATTATGTCTATCACTTTCTAGGGTTTGAACACTCACCCTAAAAAATGCCAACCGTAATCCTTTCCAATTCGATCAAACGCCCATTGGTTGGTTAAAGACATATAGATGAATTTTCCGAGGCCTCTGTGGATTAGCCTAAATGGCCCAATTGGCCCTACATGTCCCTGTGCATTTTCTTCTCCAGGTGGGCGTTGGGTTTGAGAAAGTTCTTGCGATCTTGAAAATAATGAGAGGGTTTACATCGTCCATGAAAAGCTACATATGGTTATTTATTTGTTTATTAAAAATAAAACGATCCGATTATAGTATATTCCATATGCATATGAACCTGAATGAGAGCTCACTATTTTAAATGGAGTCTAGCCAAGCCACGAGTCACACAATTCAGTGCTTCGATTTGCATGGATGAAAAACTCAAAGCATTTTCCTTGAAAAGCGATATAAGTATTAATTTTCCAATATATTATTGAAGATATATAATCTATCCATAAGGTGCCAACCAAAACAATTTTAAACAATAAAAAAAATAAGACAAGGCGCAAAATGCTGCATATATATCATATAAATAAAGCATGAAATTGTAGTTTTATAAAAAATAGCTTTAACGTGGGAATAATTTGCCATCACCATGTGTAAGTACTTACATATAGGCAATGTCCGATATCTATGGGTGACAGAGACGTCTCGAGATTTGTCCATGGTTATATATTCTCCACTTCCAATCCAATATTTTGATTACTGTCTCTGGTTGTTAAACCTTCTCCATCAACATTTCTTCTTGCTGCAGAACCTCCCTCTAATGGACTAGTTCTTGCAAAATTCCAACTTATAGCAATCGTCTGCTATACGAATTTGCAAGCATAACAGGCTTTTGCCAAATATGGCTTTCAGAGACGTCAAAGCTAAAAGTGAAAGAATTCCAATTGCCATGAACAATCCTGCAAAGCTATAAGTGGTAAGGCTGGAACTCGCATCATCTGGTGATGAAAGTAGATAAGCCTTGGCCTTCATAGTCCTCATGATTCCTTCCAAAATAATTTTGCTCAATCTGGTCCATTTCTTCACTCTCTCTTTACATTTAATATAGCTCTAGAAAAATACGCAGTTAAGTTGGAGCCCATGGGAAATGCCTGGAAAGTAATGTAAATCAACATTTACTAGACAGACAAATAAAAAACAGTTTTTTTTACTTTAAATTTATCTCAAACTACATATGTGCAATTAGAGGAAGATGAAAAGCTATAGTAGGTTGAGATGATCCTGATTTGCAATGTCAACACCAATATATTGTTGATAATGAAGTATGTTTTTGACCATCTAATTGATTAACTAGATTTAAAATGGACAAAATTAATCTATATATGTCTGATAAAGGCATAGAGATGGAAACTCACAAAAGCAAATCCATCAATGCGATGTCTAGTTTTCGACCATGGCATAATTGGAACCATACTGCTTGAGGAAGATTTTAATGTGGGAAATATGATCAAAAATAGCGTCGACGCCACCTTTACGGCTTCCTTTGTCCAAAGCCTCCCTATATTCTTTAATGTCAGGGTAGTTCTTCACCCTGGACCTATCAATCCTCAAGCGATCGACTAATAAACCTTCAACAAATGAGTAACGATGGTATCCAACATTAATGTTGGGGTCTATTATGACGTCATGCTCACTGACGTAACGAGGTTGGAGCTGATTAATTGTCAATATTGATGACAAGCTTGCTGTGTACTTTGCATTAGCATGAAGCGAGTATCAACCACATCACCAGCACAAACCTAGAACAATTTTTGACCAATGCTTCTCCTGCAAAGAGGAACCCAACTTTTAGGTAAATTAGTTAGTAGGATAAATGCATTCTTCATAACTTATTACAGTGTATTTTCGGGCGTTCAAATCCTGCTGCTGTAGCAGGTTCAATTTCATTTCGAACTTCAAGCATTGACACAATTACAGAACTGTTATCTTAACATGAGTCTCAATGAACGTAATCCTGATATCACTTGTAAAGACTGAAAAGCGAAGATCAAAATAGAAGAAGAAAACAAATAGGCGTCAATAGTGGGGCATCGGATCTTAAAAGCTTTAAGGTTTTTTATAAAATGCTTCCACTTTATTATATAAATTGTTTCTATTATGAAATTTTAATCAATATTTACTTTTTTATTTTTTGCATATAAATTATGCAGATTTGGTATATTTTAAAACTAATTCTAAAATTCTCTATTTGTTTACATGCACTATTTCCAAAATTT